GGAGAGGCTCATTTTGCCTTGACCTTGTGGCTCTCGGTTTTCTTGGGCAGCAGGACGGCCTGGATGTTGGGCAGGACGCCGCCCTGGGCGATGGTGACCCTGCCCAGCAGCTTGTTGAGCTCCTCGTCGTTGCGGATGGCCAGCTGGAGGTGGCGCGGGATGATGCGCGTCTTCTTGTTGTCGCGGGCCGCGTTGCCCGCCAGCTCCAGGATCTCGGCCGTCAGATACTCGAGCACGGCGGCCAGGTAGACCGGAGCGCCGGCGCCGACGCGCTCGGCGTAGTTGCCCTTGCGCAGCAGGCGGTGCACGCGGCCCACCGGGAACTGCAGGCCGGCCCGGGACGAGCGCGTCTTCGCCTTGGCCCGGGTCTTGCCGCCCTGCTTTCCGCGTCCAGACATGGTAGAACAAATCGGAACTTAGAAAGCACGAAATGAAATGCAGGAGAAGCAGCATTTCAAGCCGTTTATTTATTTACTCCTAGGTTTTCTAATGGCCTCTTTTGATTGGATGACGGTCGCGGTTTGGTTTGGTTGTCCAATAAGAGCGTCGTTCTTTCAGCCAATCAGACCGTGGCTTTTATTTACTCAGGCGCGCGTTATATTTTTACTTCTTCCAATCGTAAGCCGCCTTTGAACGCCTCGAACTTGCCTGCTTATTTTCGAGCAACGGAGCTCTGGTTATTGTTTTTCTGGCCCAGAGAAATGATGATTGTCTTAGAATACTGTGCCTCCTATGTAAATTAAAAAAAAAATATTTCCTGGCTGGTACTTCAAGGCTTCCATTTAAGGCCAAAATTGCCTTAAGTAGTTATAAAAGTACTTTAAATGGAGCCAACTGAAATGGCCACTGCTCGCGCTGCTCACAGTCCAGTAAAACTCAGCGCTGCCAACTGATAGTTTGGTAACATAGCCTGTGAATCCCTCTCCAGTCAGTGCCAGCGTGGGAAGCCAGCTTTCACTGTCAGTCCCACGAAAAGTCCTGCTTTAGTAGACAAAACCAACATCATCTCGAGAAGAGAGAGAAAATGTGCCCGTCGCAAATGGGAAGGAACAGGGGTCCACTTCAGCTTTTCCTCCAACAGTAGGCAAAATGGGATTTATCTCCTACTTTTAAGCAAAAGAGGAGGAACCCAACTATAATGCACAAGTAGAGGCCAAGGCAGAAGCTGTTTGTGGTTTTTTATAGTGATTGTGTGGCCTTTAGAGCTGTGGGTCTCAACCTCAGCAACTCTAAGATGGGTGGACTTCAACTCCCAGAATTCCCCAGCCAGCAATTGTGGGAGTTGAAGTCCACCCATCTTAAAGCTGCTGAGGTTGAGGCGCACTGCACTGGAGGAACATGTTTGTTCCAGCTTCAGGCTTCTTTTTCAGTTCACTGGCTTAGAGATCTCAAGGGCTGTGTGCTTGGCACTGCCTTGGTTAAGTCTGCAGTGGCTGCCTCAGCTGAAAGCGATGCCTTTGCAGAAATATAGGGAAATGCACAACACAATACAGCTTCTAAATTCTTTCCCACCCCTTCGCTGCTATGGCCACTGGGTATATCTAAAACATGATGTTATGGCTCTATACGGGCACATTTCTGTTTTCCCGTTGTAAAGTTGCATCTCTTTTTGGGGGTGTAAATGGGTGCTGAGAAGCACAGGGCTGGTTGCCAACGCTTCCCTGACTTGGGTGGGAGGATGTGGGGGTCTTTCAAGCCACTGCCTGACCCTTTGGGGTGTACGGGTGGGATTTTCACAGGATTTTGGCTAGTGATATTCTATTCACAGGATATTAGCTAGCGATATTCTATTTTTATTGTATTTTATATTGTATTTATTGTATTTTAATTAATATTTATTATTTTATTGTGAACCGCCCAGAGTCACTTTTTTGTGAGATGGGTGGTATCTAAATTTGAAATATAAAATATTTTTTTTTCTCTGCTCCCTAGTGGGATCCAGCCCATTTTCACACTCTTGGTTTTTCCTCCCCACCATTCCAAATCTGGACCCATTTCATCAAAAAATCAAGATGGAGGTTGTGATTGCATGACTGAAGCTCCGTTTTCAGTGTATGTGGTATGTGGCAGTGGAACAGGGCTTCTGTAGTGGGGTTGGGCAGACACCTTGATGCCTCACAGGACGGTCACCCCTGCACTACATTCCATTATCCTAGTGGCAAAACAGAAAAGTCCCAAGGTCCCTTCACTGCTTTTCTTTCCACCACTGGGTTAGAAAACATAACTAAGTAAAAAATCATTAAGGTACTACTCTGTTTAAAACCACCCAGTCTGGGAAACAATGGCTTGTATTCAGCTATCCCCTCCTGTTGACAGGACATCTTCCATCAGTGGCACATGGTAGAAGTTTCTTCACCTTTAGTTCTGCTTCCATCTTTGCAGCAAGAAGATGTGGGTCCCAAATGAGTTTTTCTCTCGTATGAAAAAACTTTTTCTTCATGCAACTCCCATAGCTCTTCTGAGGGCCACCCAACTAGGATGTTTTCAAGTCTTCCAGGCCCTGGCAGAGGAAGGTTGATGTTCTCAAGGCTGCCTATCAACATGGGGTTTTGGTTTGATCACAGGGGATCCAATGCTGTGCCATAGGATCAGCCCTAATGTTTATTCAGAACAGCTACATCTTCACCCTATGCAGCTTCTCTCCCCAAATTGCCTTCTTGATTTTTGTCCATTACAGTAACCAGCTATTAAAAGGGTACCGCCTCTTTCTCAAAAACATAAGGAAAAACAATTATCATTGGACTTGGGAGGGCATGTAAAATTTACTGATATAAATAAATCAACACTGCAAAAGCAGGAGTTTGTCTTCTCTGTCAGAAATGCCTAATATAACTTCGCATTTGGAGGCGACATAATATTTATTTCTTTATTCAAACTCATTATAGCTGCCCAGCTCCAAGGATTCTGGGCGGTGTACAAAACCAAAAAAACAATT